TGCATTTTTAAGAGGGGAATGTTTGCGAGTGCTTGTCAAAAGCCTCAAGCCGCGTGACGTCACGCGCCGTTGTCACACCGCAAATTATAAACGCGTCCGCCATGTCCGATACTGAGATGGCTGCCGCGGACCGCCCACCGTTATTTTTCGCTGCCTCTGATGATGAAGAGGACGAGGACGTATCCATGGAACTTCCCGTGGAGTCCAGTTCCCGCCCTTCGTCAAGGACGTCGTCGCGTCTCTTCACACCGGTGGACAGTGGCAGCGAAGAACCTTCTGCGGAGGAGCCTGTTTTTACTCCTCAAAAGCGACCAATAGTTGTCGAAGATGACTCTGATAACGACGCCCCTCGACCCCCTGTCAAATCGGGGAACAGCAGTGGCAAGGGCAAAGCCACCGCTACTTCTCGCAAAAACTCCCCTCCGCCTCCCAAGAAACGCCGAATATCCCCTCCGGCTTCTCCAGAGCTTCCGCCAACATACATTGGTGAAATGGTTTTTGGACATGCGTGGAGTAACGTCTCGGGGAAAGGCTACATAAAGGTCGGCGAGGAGGTCAAGATCATGCGAGATTCGCCTCAGCAAGACTCCAAGAGCGCAAGCAGCAAGGGCGGAACGAAAAACAAGAAAACGGGGGACGGGAAGAAACAGATGACGCTTGCCGCGATGATGAAACAACCAGCCAAGTCCTCGAAAAAGAAATCCGACACCATCGTGCGCCTTTATAACTCGCGCGGCTTTGGTATGGTGTTCCTTTTTTCCGGCCAGAATGGAGCTAATTTGGCGTCTTCAAGAATTCGGACGCCTTCCGCAAGATGTGTCGTCGTGGATGGCCAAGTTGCTCGATCTGGGTATGTCTGTCTCAGCAATTTTGTCTGCACATATGATAATCTCTCTAGGTATTGTCGAATTTCGCGGAAAAATGGTGGATTGCCCACCGGCGCTTTCCACCGGCGCAACTCTTATCGTAACGGCGGATGTCTACCTGCTCCCGACCGCGTTCAAACCCCCCAACCCCGACGCTGATGACACCCCCATAGTCATGTTTTCAGAGGGGGCAGAAACGCTCGACGAGCAGACGCTGCGAGAGCGAAAAGCCTCGATCCTCAAATTGTTCGATGTCCTCAGCCTGCGACCCCAGGCCGGCGCCAACTTCACCTCGAACGAGGAGATCCACGAAGAGGCGCTGAAGAAGATGGCCCAGCGCAAGTCCAAGAAGGTCACAGAAATCGTAGGAGACGGCGAGGAGATCGAGGTGGAGGAAGGAGAGGAGCTGACGGAAAACGATCTGGACATGATCTACCAGAAAGCACAGAAGAGTGACCGCTCCATGGGGGAGATGAATCCCCCCGATACATTCACATTTACGCTTCGCGGATATCAGAAGCAAGCTCTTTTGTCCGTCGCATCCGTCTCACCTCTCTTCTGTGTCTTACCGTTTTTGCAGATGGATGCACTCACTTGAACTGGGCAAGATGGATGCACGGGAAGCCTCCTCGATGCACCCGCTGTGGAGCCAGTCAGTAATTATCCGCCGCTACGAGCCTACGCCCTTTAACATGCTGCAGATACGCTTTCCCGCCTCCTCGCGATGGAGGGGTCATAGATTTGACGGCCGACGAGACCCCTTTTTACTTTAACCCATATTCGGGCGAGCTGAGCTTGGAGTTTCCAAGGGCAGAGCGAAAGGGAAGGGGAGGGATTCTCGCGTTAGTCGCTCGGTGTTGATTTGTGTCACCATCCACTAATTTCGTTTTTTCCAGTGACGGTAATGTCTTCCTCTATAACTTCTCATAGTAGCTGGCTGAATATCATGATCCGTTATCTGTTACTAGAAAGTAGGAGTTTTCGTTTCTCGATTATTTCCGAAGCTTATACGCCGTTGCAGTGGGGATGGGTACAGTGTTTTTGGTGAAGATCCCTCAATTTGTCTAAACATCGCAATCCTTAGGAAAAACCATCGAGCTTGCCGCCCTCATCCATACTAACTGTGCACCCGATGCCGAGCGTCCAGCGGAAGAACCTACCGCGGGGACGAAACACCGCCAACTAAAACTCGCTAACGCTTTCAAGAACGCACCGCGTCGCAAACCTCGCAAGGCCCCGTCTGCGACTTTGATCGTCGCCCCTACGTCACTGTTATCACAATGGGAGGGAGAACTGCAACGATGCAGTCGTGCTGGGTCCTTGGAGGTTCTCGTGTGGCATGGCCAGAACAGGCTCGACCTAGAAGACGTGCTCGAGGACGACGACGATGGGGAGGTGTCCATCAAGGTCGTTATTACATCATACGGCGTCCTCGCTTCAGAGCATGCCAAGTCCGAGAAGTCGAGCTCAAAGTCTCCCGTATTCGAAAGTCGGTGTTGCTGGCAGTTCCATATGGTCGTGTAGGTAATGATTGTATTTTAGTTGAGTGGCTTCGAGTTGTGCTCGACGAGGCGCATTCGTGCAAATCGCGCTCCAGCAAGACCGCCAAAGCGGTTTATGCGCTCCATGCTCGAAGGCGATGGGCCGTAACAGGTATGTCATTGACTCATCCACCAATAGAGACCGCCAGGGGCTGACATTCCACTCTTAGGAACGCCGATTGTCAACAAATTGGAGGATCTGTACTCATTGTTGTGCGTTTTTAAACGATACCAGTCTCAACTTCCTGACGCAAAGCTACCCAGGAAATTCCTGGATTTCAGGCCATGGTCTGACTTTTCGTTCTTCCGCTCGTATGTCGGTTTCCTTGCTCCATACATCGTTGCTCATCCTAGTCGCGGATTTATCACGCTGCCTTTTCTGGCTCGCGATCCCAAGGCTATAGAAATTGTCCAGATCATTTTGGAATCCATCTTACTGAGACGAGAAAAAACCATGTTGGATAATAACGGCAAACGGATAGTCGAGTTGCCGCAGAAAGAAGTGCGTCTAAGCCTCCTCGGGATATATTACCAAAAACCAAGTTTTTCGCTAGGTTTCGGTTGAATATCTCGAATTCTCGTCATTGGAGAGAAAAATCTATAGCAGCTTGTTTAATTCTGCCAAACGCGACTTCGAGCAGCTAAATGCGAAAGGTCTGGTCGGTAAAAACTACACTCATATTCTGGCGATGCTCATGCGGTGCGTCTTTTCCTTCAATGGCGGCCTCAAAATCTGAACACGCCGCAGGTTGCGGAGAGCCGTGCTTCATCCTAACCTTGTGCTCTCATCCGACGACGAACGCTCACTCCCGGCAGACGGTGACGAGACTGTCGATGTTAACGAACTGATCAAGCGCTTTGCAAACGATGAGCAGGAGGGCGAGGGTAGTGGCAATGTATTCGCTCAAAATGTGCTTGAAAACATCGACCTCGATGAAGCTGATTCCGAGTGTCCGATTTGCTTGGACGTCATGCAATCTCCCATGATCATCCCCGAGTGCATGCACCGCTGGTAAGTCAGGTTTGCGCATACTTGTCAATCTAGCTTGAGCGCACCCTCAGCTGCAAGGATTGTATTGTGACGATGGTCTTCGCCAAATCCGAGGAAGGAGGGGAGGAGGCTAAGTGTCCGACGTGTTCCCGCGGGCCCATCAAGGTCGGCTGCGAACTACTGTTTCTTGCACATTCTCAGCTCCCCGTATCACAGGAAAGCGACCTCATTGAAGTTTACCGGCCACCCAAAAGTTCTCAGGAACCACAGCCAAGTGTGATTCTCCGCAAAAACGACTTTCATTCGTCCACGAAGTTGGATGCGCTGGTCCAAAATTTACGTCAGTCCCATACACTTGGCCACGGTTCTCGTCTCATGCTTCAGACAGGAAAGCTGCGCGAACAAGACCCTTGTTTCCGTGCTGTCGTGTTCTCTCAATTCACCTCCTTCCTAGACCTCATCCAGGTCGTGCTGAAGCGTGAACGGTTTGAGCAATATCGATTCGATGGATCCATGGACGTCAAGAAGAGGGGTATGGCTCTCGACGAGTTTAGGGCCGCGACGCGGAAACCCAAAGTGTTGGTTGTGAGCTTGAAAGCGGGTGGAGTCGGTTTAAACGTGAGTTTCTCTGACCTCTTCGTTTCAAGTACTCAGGATGGAACCTACACAGCTGACAACGGCCAATCATGTGTTCATGGTGTGTGGAATGTCAAAGTATGAACCAAGTACTAAACATACGTCCAAAGATGGATTGTTGGTGGAACGCTGCGACTGAAAACCAAGGCAAGTTGTGACATTGGCCCTGACTCAATTTCTGCTGACATCGTTGAAAGCAATCGATCGTGTTCACCGAATCGGGCAAGAAAAAACAGTTTATGTCAAACACTTCATTGTAAGGCTTCCGCAGGCGTTCGTTTCTTGTCTTGTGCTCAATGATTTGCAGGTGTCAAACACGATCGAGGGTCGCATTCTCCGTATCCAAAAGAGAAAGACTGCAATCGTGAAGGAGGCATTCCGTGGAAGTGGGGGCCCAGGGGGTGCGCGGACAGACCCAGAGAGTATCGAGAACCTGAAGATTATGTTTGGGGAGGAGCTCGACGACTCTTGATAGAAATTAGTGCATTGCCAGTGGTGTGCACTGCACTGCACTCTATTTAATCCCAGTCATTATATAATATCTGTGCGACTTCGCCAACAGTTCCTTGTCATCGATTACTCTTTCCTTCTATTCAATCAAGTATCCAGTCGAGGATTTGGATAGGATTCCAGCTTCAGAACGGGGGGGAGAGATTGATCAAGTTGTCTGGTGCCAAAGCAACTGTCAACAACACTACGCTTTCGTCCAAATATGGTCATTCTAAAGCGTACGGCTTCTGCGACAAGGATGAGGCGGAAAGGCGGAAATGCATGCGCAATGCATAGAAAGCGATTATGACAATGGGTAAAACTGCGGTACAACCAATCTCTGGGAGGCAGAGATGTTCAGGGTGACTTTTCTCCCCAAAAGTTGGCTTTGTGGATGAGTTCAGGTTTTCAAATTCTCGGATGAAGCGGTACAAAGTATTTTTGAATACTGGCTGTTGAGTGTCAAGTGAGTTCCGTGGTTGGATGGCCGAGCGGTCCAAGGCGCCAGACTAAGGACCAGCTTCAATCTGAAGCTTCACTTGCTAGATAACTTTGGCAATCTGGTCCATTCGTGGGCGTGGGTTCGAATCCCACTCCAATCATAGGTTTTTGCCGCGCTGCTACGGTGTAACGTTCACCAATGTCCCGTATTTCATCGATGAATCAGAATCAGATAAAGACTATCAAATGTCCGACATGCAACTTGAATGCCCTTTCCTTTCAGTTGAGAATCACCGGACCCAGAGTAAGACACGGCGAAATGCGGATCCTCCACAATCGGGCTTTAGGGTATGATCCTTTTTCTCTCTTTGAATTTCGTACCGCCCTCTTTTGCAGGGGGTTCAGAATGCAAAAGCCGAAAGAATCAAGTGATTTGACGAGGGAACACGACGGAAAAGCCCGGGAACGTCAAACCGAGAGGTGAACTAAATCCCACGAAAATCCCAAACTCCGAATGAATATGTATGTTGTGGCAGCAAATGCGAAAGCGATATAAAATACATTAATAGATGATAATTAAGGTGCTTCAGGTGGTGCAGATTCCGCAGGAGATGCTTCGGCAGGAGCCGCGGAGCGCTCCTCGTTTTGTTTACGTCTAAATGCTGCCCGCCGAGCACGCTCGACAGTCGTCCTCCCCATCAAATGACCGTGCAACACCTTCTCCTCCGACTTCTTGGCGTGCATGGCATTGCGCCTCTCGGCCATGGCCATCCGCTCAAGCCGTTCATCCACATTCATGAACTTACCGCCGACGTCGATGAATTGGATGGGTATGCGACCGGGGCGGACCACTGTCTGCACCTTCTGTCGAGGCGACTTAACGGTCGGTGTGTCCTTAAAGCGGGGCATGAGCCGCGGTGTGGACCCAAGCTCTGCCCGCTTCTCCGCGTATCGCTCAGCAATTTTTTTCGCGCGCTCCAACGCGGCAGGCAGAATTGGTTCCTATCATAAAAGGATGAGATTGCATTGATAGTAAGAACTTCATGACTTGCCTTGCCATCGTCGACAATGGACTCCCAGTACTGACGCTGGAAGCGCTGGCGGGCGGCGTCACGGTTTTCAGATTCCTCAAGGAGATCCGCCGTGTGCGCGTCAAGTCGTTCAGGTTCAGACTGCGATTTAACACCCAAAAGCATCTCCATGCCCCATTGAAAACCTGTTTGCAAAGGCTTTCCCTATGAGAAGAGGGCGTCAGCAAAGGGGCTCGTGAAGGGAAGGAGGAGGATGAAGAATATAAATCAGATGGGGTTGAAATCGGTTTAACCAGAATCCGACGATGTAAGGGCATCGGATTGTCTTCCAACTTCGCGAATGAATTTATGGTCTCATCAGAACACAGTATGAAGAAATGAGCACTTACATCCTAAAGGGACAGAAGTGGCGGCAAACAAGTTCAGTGAAAGCTGAGATAGGAACCCGACGTGAATACCTGGAAGTAGTGTGTCAGAACGAGGAAGGGTAGAAGAGATTCAAGGTTCAGAAAAAAAGTATATATTATTAACCATGTAGGTGTCTTCAAGACTAATCGATTTTGGAATCATCATGTGAGGGGGTACGTTGCCCCACAACTAAGAAAGTAGTGACGAACCTTTACAAATGCCTGCTCCAAGCCTTTGAGCCGTAGTATTGCTTCAACACGCTTGAGACTGATGTGGTAGCGTTGCGAGAGTGCGCGAATGCTATTCGTCTCAGGATCCAACATGTAATCCGCATACATGCGGTTTCGAACGACGTCTGATATCGGGGTCGGAGGCTTGAACGACGGGTTCATGGGAAATGGCTGAAAAGGAAGGTAAACAACGAGCAGGTAATGGATGTGACGGAGAAAGGCATACAGAGTCAGCTGTTGAGGAGGTGTCCTCAGACCGGCGCGGGGTAAGCCAGTTTCTAGGCTTGCTGGCTATCCTGAACTTTTCGTTGACCTTGAGAAAGGATTTGAAAGTCTTCCCGTCTTCGCCCTCCTCCGCCTCAGCGGCCTCCTCTTCGTCGTCCTTCTTCTTGACCCGCTTCGCTTGAGCGCCCCGAGGTATGGAAGACGATATGAGCCGTCGAGAGGAATGGCAGCCTGGACGTGAACATCGTGGTGCAAGTGAAAGCAGCATCGAAAAAAATGCTTCCACGTGCCGAATATATAGCCCTCGGAAACAAACACGGACATACGGGAGACATTCACCAAGATTTGGCGAGAATGAAGCACCCAGGCAGCTAGCAGCAATACCTGCTCATATTTACCTCGGGAAGACGCTGCATACTATTCGGGTATTGGGCGGAAGGACGAGCAGCGATGATCGGACATCGTTTGCGCCTTATCGTTCCACTTCTAACTCGATCGTCAACCACCATGTCCACGCGCCCATTTGCCTTGGAGCGCCAGCTTGGTCTCTCTGCCGTGCGCCGAGCATGCGCATTGACCTCTTCAGTGTTCAATAAACTCATAAAAAACGAAACTCTAACCAAGGGGGACAAATCGCCTGTGACTGGTAGCCTTCATACGTGGTTTGTGTCCCCCTCGACTCATGTGTCCCTACAGTGGGCGACTACGCGGCCCAGGCCCTCATAAGCATCATGCTTCAGAACTCTTTCCCCGCCGATCCCATCGTCGGAGAAGAGGACGCGGCAGAATTACGCGTTGAGGAAGGCAAGGTCCTCAGAGAGAGGATCATCGAGCTCGCCAATGAAGCTCTGGTCGCTCCGCTTGTGGACGGTGACAAGGCCGAGTGGGGAATTGGTCCCGGTCAGACAAAGACGTCTGCGGAACTCTTGGATGCGATCGATAGAGGAAACTACGACGGTGGAAAGACCGGCAGTGAGTCCACGGTCCAGTCAATGCTTCCTCTCGCTAATTATAATCCTATAGGGATGTGGACGATCGATCCCATCGACGGAACTAAAGGATTCCTGCGTGGGGAGCAATACGCCGTATGCTTGTCGCTCCTCGTCGATGCACAAGTCCAGCTGGGAATCATTGGATGCCCCAATCTCCCCGTCGATGCTTCGAAGCCAGAAGGGGAGCGCGGGTGCATATTTGTGGCAGTGAGAGGCCAGGGTTGCCACCAGGTACTTGTTGTTTCTTTCCTCATCAACTTAGGAATTCACATATTCAGATTCCCCTCAGCGGCACCGCTGAGACCGCCCTCAGCATGCCTGTATTCACCCCTTCCACCCTGAATTTCCTCGAATCGGTGGAGGCACTGCATTCCTCCCATTCGACAACGGACACAATCTCATCCATCCTCGGTATCACGCGTCCGCCACTGCGCATGGACAGCCAAGCCAAGTACGGATGCCTTGCGCGTGGCGACGGCGGACTCTACTTGCGCATGCCAACAGGCGTTGGCTATCGCGAGAAGATCTGGGTGCGTACAACCCGTATTTTTTGTCGAACAGAAATTAACTTTGCGAATCGCAGGATCACGCGCCTGGCGCGCTTCTTGTAGAGGAGGCCGGGGGAGTGGTGACGGACTCGCGCGGGCAGCCTCTCGATTTTGGTCTGGGTAGGACGTTGGGCGAGAATTTCGGGGTCGTAGCGGCGGGGAAAGAAGTGCACGCAGCAGTGCTTGATGCCGTGCAGCAAGCGACAGGCGTAAAAGCGAAGGCATAATGTAAGAATTGACTGTACAACAGCGTAGAATACAAACTGCAATTCGAGGATGCGTCCATCTCAAAAAATGCGCGACCTATTTCTTCGCCTTTTTCTTCTTGGGCGATTTGGAACTCGCCCCTTCCTCGTCTTCGCTTTTCTTTGCTTTTTTCTTCTCCTTCTTCGGTCGTTTCTTCTTCTCCCCTTCGTCTCCTTCTGCTGGAGACGGCGCGGGTTCATCATCTCCAAATCCTGTTCTGGTGTCAGCGCTGTCTCAGGAAGTATCTCGAAAGCTAACCAGCGAACGGATCTATGGCGGGTCTGCGTCGCTTGCTCCCTATCACCACCGCTTCCTCCGTGACGACTTCTTTCGCCTTGCCCTTACCTTTTCCTGCCGACTTGACTGGTGGGACCTCAGGCTCATCTCCATCGATCATTTCCAGCTCCTCTTCAGAAGAGCTGGCATCCCCTCGCGCACGCAATTCGGCTTCGTATTCCGCACGTTCAGCCATCTTGCTCGTCACCTTAACGGGCACAAACGTCGACGGCTCTTGCGTCTGTGGCGCGTCGGCAGCTGGCTGCCCGAGCTTGGACTGCGTTATGGCGTGCTTGATAAACCGTGAGGCGGCGGCCTTGTCGATGGGTGCACGCTCTATATTAGTTAATTAACAGCTGATCCAGAACGCGTGAAGCACGCACGCGTATCGGGGTTCTCCGCAGAGGATATCTTGTCAAAGTACCGCCGTACGCGGGTCTAAAAATTGAGCAGAGTCAGGAGGGAATCTAAGATGAATAGGGCAATCGGTCGTACCAGCTCCCCGATGACCGGGTGGGATTTTGGATCGATACCTTTGGATTTCAGGTAAACTGTAATTTGGTTGGAACTATTAGTTCGCGACGACAGCTCTAGTCAGCAGCGACGCACTGAATACCAAGTCGTATACGATGTAGGGAAGAAGAGTTTGCAACTTCGCCTGCTCGATGGGTGTGAGCGAGACAAGTGATTCTGGGAGGGTTTGTGCGAACAAAGGAGCTAGGGTCGATTCCAAGCCAGAGAGGGAGGAGGTCAGAGAATCAAGCTTTGCTTTCAGCTTTGTTGTTTCGGTCGTCATCTTTGAGGAAAAGCCGCTCACGGCAAGCAGAAATACTTTCAGTAAAGGTGAAAAGAGAAAATCTGAAGCCGCCGCCAAGCACGAACAAATGATACGGAACCGTTGCAGAAAGAAGTTCAAAGAACCGTCAAAATCGCCTTTTCGTTTCCACCGAATTCAATCTTGTTCCTTGGTCCCTGACTGACCAGAAACGGGAATGGACTCAACGCTCGATTCGCCAGATTTTGGATCGCATTGGACCATGACGCGCAGTCTTGGCTCACTGAAGAGTTGCCACTCAGAATTGAGTCTTGGATTCAAGCTCTGAATAGCTTTCCGCCTCAATAACACTCCACGCTCTAAGACAGTCGGGCAAGATCAGTCACACTTGCCGGCAAGTTGAATATATTCGTTTCACAACCATCGACAGAGAGCAAGAAAGCAAACACGAGAAAAACGACAAACCCGCGCAGATTTAACGTGCTATTGGTTAACCCGAAGGTATCAAGCCTGGGGGCCCACGACAAGGGTGCACGAGGGTTGCGAGCCCACCACCAGGAAGACTCACCTAAAGCGTCGAGTCATCTTGCTGAGATCCTTGCGGTTGCGCGGCGGACGGTCTGGAAGAGTGAATGAGCGACGAGACGATAGAAAGAGAAGAGGATACATACCAGAGGCGAACTTCATCTCGTGGTTGACCACACGGCGGTTGCGCGGTGGGCTGCTGATCTGGAAGAACGAGTGAGCAGCAGGACGATGAACGAAAGAGGATGCCCACCCAGGAGAATTGTCTTATCGCAGTGGGCCCTGCTCATTCACTCCGGGCTGCTGAGTCTTGCTGAGGGTCTTCTGGAAGAGCGAGTCAGCGACGAGACGAGGAGAAAGCAAAGACAAGACGCTCACCAGAGGGGATTGCCAAATTGCTTTATGGAGGATAGGCCGTGACCTTTCGGTCTGTTTCGGTGCAAACACCCTTCACCGCCGCGAGGCCATCCAGCTGTTCGGGCGAGCACGACGATCCCATGCCCCGTAACGAGCCTGGTACGCGTGCACACGATGGAAAGCCGTAATCAACTCCTGGCGGGTACAGCATCTGCAACGAATGAGTAAAGGGCGAGAAAAGGGGAAGGAAAGACGAACCTCGCTGGGCGAGTTCCTGGCTTGTCGTTCGAGGTCGCGCTGGGCACTTGTGGGACGCCGTCGACTCCACTCCGGCTTGGTTGGGTCAACCGTCTCGTCGCCGCCTAGGCACATCCGCACCCACAGACGACGAACAAGACTCCCTCCCTCGACGCCCTATAAGCAGCCGACCGGTCCCGCGCGCCTGTCACGATCTACGGGGAGGGTCAGTAGGGCCTGCCTGAAAAGCAGAGGTCAGCGAGGGACCGACTACCGACTACGCTGTGGAGGAGATGGTGGTTAGCGGAGAGGATCGGACTCTGGAGGTGGCTGCCACAGACCGTTTCTTTTTATGCATTTCCGCCGTGGCTGTGCGGAATCACAGAAATGCGCCCACAAAATGTGAAAAGCGCAGGCCTAGGATTCCATCGACAATCCAACGTCCAGAGCTCTTGTAGTTGCCTCTGCACGGACTAGTCTCGGAAGCAATTCCTGCCAATCCAATGCCGTACTTCATATCAGTGGCGGTGTCGACGGTGTTTCCCAATGAGGCACGTTTTTGAATCGATTCTTTGCCTTTGGCAACTTTGCTCTGGCCAATTTCTAGAGATGCAATGCAGCAGCTTTTATTGATTCTGAAATCGCGGTGGAAAATGGCGCGTCGTTTCACGTGAGTTTGACTCCGATCGCGTTGTTTTCGTTTGCTTGCGGCTGACTGTTTGGTCATATACACCTTGTTCATCGACCACCATGTACCTCTCCTTGAACCCCACGTTCATCTCCTCCCTCTTCGACTACGTCTACGCCAAGATCGACAGCGTCAAGAACGCCGCGCTGTCTCCGTTCATTGAGCACACGCCCAACACGTCGTTCATCCTCGTCGCCAGCGCCGCCATCCAGCGTGCAGCAGTTGTGCTCCACCCAGCGCTACTTACTATCGACGGATCTCCTGCGCTTTTCACCCTTCCTCCAGGCCCCCTCCATACTACAGGCCCCGAACTCATCACGCACATTGTTCACTCGCCCACCTGGGTGCCATCTCTGTGCTTTGAAGAGTTGTCTCTAGTAGTCTCTGGTTATCGCGATTTTGGAGTAGTCGGGCTTGTGTTTATCCTTTCCGCGACGGCGCTTATTGTCATGAAGCCTTCCAATACCCAACGCAGGTTCAAGTCGATGGTCAAAGCCCACATCCACACGTTCCAACAGCAAGTCTCCGAAGACGTCCGAGTGCTTTTCAGAGCCACGCGGAGCGCAATGCGATGGCTCTTTCCCGTCTTTCCCTCGCTGCTGCTTCCAGGATGCCGCTTCTTCCTCCATGTAGGGAACGCAACGAGCCAAGTGCTCATCAAGCTGGCCGGCATCGCATTCAAGACATGCAAGCCGGTCGTTTGGACCGTCGCGACGCGGTGGGTCCCTTACCTCGCCGATATCTTGCTCTGCTTTTTCGTCTCCATCATCATCTACACGTCGAAGCTTGCGTTTCCACCTCGTCCGCGCCCCGTCCTTCGCCCAGAAAAGTCAATCGACAAGAGGGTACTCCTTCCCCAAGCCCTCAATCCCCCTGCCCGGTCAAACTGGTCGAACTTTATCGTTGATGGCGTCGCCAACGCCGTACGATCCTTGGATGTCGTTGCGGTTCGGTTCCTCGGTAAAGGCAGTTTCGGAAACGTCCTCCAAGGACACATCGGGTCCACCGGTCAGGCAGTCGCGATCAAGCGCATTTCAAAACGATTTCCGGAACATCTCGTCCGTGGAGAAATCCGAGCGATGAACCGTCTCAGTCACGCCGTAACTCAACTGATTCCGACTTTGCTGGGTGGCTTCAGAGATGAGAGAGATTATATTCTAGTAATGGTAAGCTTCTTCTGGCGCTATTGAACTTGTTTTCACCAATCTGTGCCAGGAATATCTCCCCGGGGGAACGTTGTTCGACCGCGTGAACCGGGCACCAAACTACCGTCTGAGTCGCTCCTCCGCCCTGACTCATGGTGCACAAATGCTCTCCGCGATCCATGCGATACACCAACAGGGGATCCTCCATCGTGACCTCAAACCCGACAACATCCTCCTCAACGCCCAAGGAAACGTCGTGGTCAGTGACTTTGGTCTCTCCATGGCCTTCGACATGAAAGCCAACGGAGGCCCCGACTGGAACCGTGCCAGAACAGCCGGTGGCGACGCGTTCCCGCTTATTTGGCCCCACCCCGACAACCCTCACTGGACGCGCGGGCTACAGGGCACACACATCTACGGCGCCCCAGAAGCTATGGCAGGCCTCGCCTACAGCTACGGGGTTGACTTTTGGTCGTTTGCGGTATGCTTCTTCGAGCTGCTCACCGGCGAGCTGCCCTTCGTGTTCAACGCGCGCGGGAATGCGTACATCGAGCCGCTCATCTTCGACGTCGAGAAAAGCCGTAGCCTCGACCACGTGGCACTGGATTTCTTCTCCAGGGTGCGTGTTTTTCTTGCATCTCACTTTCTGATCTTCTAAGCAACATCTTCCCAGGCGTTCTCAACCAGCCCCCGGAGTCGGATGTCCGTCGCAGAGATGAAACGGCATCCTATCTGGACCAACCTGTACGTCAATCCCTTCGCGTCCTGTTCTTGATAACTGACGGTGTTACAGGGACTGGCATAGCGAACGGGCGGGTTTTTGACATAATATGGATGGGGGGAGCGGATATCGATTGCTTCAGTTACACGCATATACCCTGCATAGCATACATATACCCCGTCTCTTTCTACATATACCCTACCTATACCGTCTGTATTCTCTTTCTTTTCGTCTCTTATATACCCATCTGCTTGTATCTGGCCCGGAATATACCCTCTTCTGCTGGTTATAGAGTCTGCACCATTATCTGCTTCCTTGAACTCGGGCCGGTTGAATCGGAAAGGACGAGATTTCCCAAAAGGGAAATACATTTTCCCAATGCGGAAGACGCCTCGTCGAGTCAAGAAAATCATTGAGCTCGAGTCATAAAAGCCATGATTAACGTATCGAAGAAGCAAAAATACTCGCGCTGAGGATTGAACTCAGACCCTCGCATTGAAACAGATCTTCTTTACAGTTTCGTAAGTAGCCATAGGTAACATCATAGGTGCGATGCTCTAACCAGCTGAGCTACGCGAGCGACATGTGGGCCTGAAGAGAGTATATGTGGGACTTCGGGGCAGACACGGTTGCATGGCAGCCTTGGTTGCAAATGTAAATCGAACAAAACATAAAGTAGGAAATTCACTGTGAACTTTCCGTAAGCGGAGCCGTACGCTGCCCCCTTGAATTACCGTCGAATTTTCTCGTTCACGGTACGCTTTCTCCCTCCTGCAATGACCCAGTCGGATCTTATGCGGCAAAGGCTTTGGAAGTTCTGACCCTCGAAGTGTTCTGCCAGAATTCGTAGTAGAAGGGCGTTTCTGGAACCTTTAGGGAACCAAAGTTACATAGTATTCTTTAGTCCACCTTCGATATTGGAAGGCGACGATTGGGGAGGAAAAATCGATTCTGGCGGAATCTCGTATGCTTGAGATAACCATGGTCATGATGTTGCCCAAGTGAGAGAGACAGGTGGGACGCGCATAATCTTGAAAACGATGACTTCCGACCGTTCGAGTTGAGTGATACTCTGATAGCCCACTTCCTCCGTGCCTTCACAGTGCTTCGCGACCGAGTGCTGGAAGATGACGAAGTTGAGGAGTTTGGCAGAAATATGGCAGATAAATGCGGTTATTGTCTCCGTATGCGTCGAATTCCGTTACATTCATGTGGTGGCGGCTGCAGCTGGAAGCTGGTGGACATCCCGAACGGTTCGAATGAGGTTTGAACGAAGCTGCCGTTCTTGCCGATGGATTTTCTCACGCTAGAGAAAATTGCATGCACCAACTTGACAATTATGCCAGATCAAAGACCATGTCTCGCCTCCACTTTGCGCCATGGTTCCTGGCAACTTTCTCGATGTCCCATTCGAACTTGGGGCCGGATATTCCACCAAGATTTGAATGTTTTTGAAAGAGGACTAATCCGCGAACAACCTTCAAATAACCGCAAGTTCACGCGTTGAATCGCCACTTCGACACTTTCCTCGAATCGAAGCGCCTCAACCTCACTGCGACATATGGCTTATGCTCTAACATTCCTTAACCATGGTCAGTTGACACCTGTCCAATCGACTCCATCCTGCAACCTGCATAGTATTATTCCCGGAGCTGCATATATAGCTCCAGTGCTCGAGCGCTGTGTGGCCAGGAACCCAGTCCTCTCACTACTCGTTTTCGCACTGCATAATGGAAGCCTCTGCTGAATTGACCCTCCACTTCCGTCGTGCTGGATGGCTCCCCGCCAGCGACGCGGAGCTGATAAAGTGGATCAAGGATGTCGTCGCAGAGATCACCGTTGGAAAAAGAAAAGCCGAGCCCCTGCTCCCAGTTATTCAGGAACTCCAAACGCTTATCGAGACGAACAGCGAGCTGTACATGGGTTTCAATCAGATGTTTGAACAGCAGCCACAGTCCGTGCTGCCTCAGTCGTCCTTGCTCTCCCAGGCTACCTCAGTGTTGACAAAACCGTTTTCCTCTTCAGCACAACCTCTTCCTGCCTTGGCGACTCTGGTATGCATCACTTGCCTCAAATCTGCCTTGTGCTCATCGTTCGCATTTGAAGATTCCCGACTATCAAACCTTACTCAAGATTCTTAATAAAATTATCCAGGAGGCACCGTTTTACGGGCCCATTGGGCCACCTATGTACATGGTCCTTAACGCAGCGATGAACACCCAGGGTGGATTCACCACGTTCCTCAACACCGAATTGAACGCCCAGTTTAAGCTCATGTTCGACGTTTGGGCCAAGTTCCTCGAGTCGCCCGATTCCCGTTATGTCCTTACTTCTCAGCCCGAGGGATGGTTCAGCTCTCCCGCTCTCACAGCGCTGACGGAGAACTTCGACGGTCTCACATTCGAGCAGATTTTCGTCTGCGACCCCTCCGACCAATACTGGGGCTATTCGTCCTGGGACCACTTCTTCGTGCGCACCTTCCAGCCCAACGTCCGCACGCTTCAGGCCGGCGATAACCCGAATATCATCAACGCCGCGTGCGAGTCGCAGCTGTACAACCTCGCGACCAACGTCCAGGAGCGCGACACGTTCTGGCTCAAGGGCGAGCCGTACTCGCTGCTGGACATGCTGAACCAGGACGAGTTGGCGCCACAGTTCCTTGGCGGCACGGTGTTCCAGGGCTTCCTCTCCGTGACGGGCTATCACCGCTGGCATGCACCCGTGACGGGCGTCGTGCGCAAGATCGTCACGGTCCCGGGGACGTACTTTGCGCAGTCGCCCGCGACGCTCGGCGAGACGGACAACCCGTACCTTCGCTCGCTGGCGTTCATTACGGCGCTCACGACGCGCATGCTCATGTTCATCGAGTCGGACAATCCGAGCGTCGGGCTGATGTGTTTCATCGCGGTCGGGATGACGGAGGTGTCGTCGTGCGAGGCGACGGTGAAGGTGGGCGACCGCGTCACGCGTGGGGACGAGCTCGGAATGTTCCACTTTGGAGGCTCGACGCACGTCCTTGTCTTCCGCCCGCAGACGAAGCTGCAGTTCTTTGACAATGTGGATAGCCCTGGGGATATGGTCCAGGTCCGGGGGGCGATTGCAGGAGTTCAGTGAGCGAAGAAAAGAAGTTTCTGTATCATGATCATGTACTACCACCAAATTATCTTGTCTCTCCTTCCCCGCAAAAAGGCACCGATCGCCAAGCCAAAGCCAAAAACCCAATCAGGAAGATAACTTTCCCGATATAGCAATCCCGTCGCGGGGCGGGCGATCGTCGTTCCTTTGTTCGAGTCGCCGTGTTTTTTGATCGCGCGTTCCCGCGCATCACAGCTACCCCTGCAGAAGGGACAAAGGAGGCGCGATATTCACGATACTGAAATCACTTTCCGCCGAGCTGGGAATAAACTGTCTCATGAGTCCCTTACTAGATTCCCACCCGGCTCCATAGCGTCTCAATTCATTTCTACGCAACAAAAAACATCCATTCCAGATGAATGTGCAGAAACCACGAGGACCGGACACTTCGGGATGTAGAAATGAATGTCAATGCTCGGCGGGTTGAGTGGAGTCGCAATGTAATGCAGATATTGATCTGCCGTGGAGCAGAGGAATACAGAGCACAGTACGCAGTAGGATAATAATATTCCCGACGGAATGGAAATGTTACAAGTTCCGACCAGATGAGGGTGTTACGAGCTCGTAAGGTCCGAAAGACTTTTGAGACATGCTGGAGAGGAATAATTCCAAGACGGAACGTAAGATGCTTCAGACAGGGAGCCGAGGACGCGTACGAATACTTAATTCTGAGACGGACATAGGAATAGTGCTGCGGACGGACTGCGGCGAGATCCAGTGTATGTACGTGTTCATGTACTGTGTCTGGGCCGAGGGATGATGGTCGGGGAAGGATGTCAGACCCGAGGAGAATAGATTCGGATCCTTGAATTTGGATCCGCACGGAGGAGAATAGGATAAATTGTCGGATTACTGGTCACATATAGCCCAGGGCAGCGTCCATTGTAGCTCAGCTCGGTATTTAGCCCAGGTTGTCAGTGCTTGGACGCCCAATGGTGATATTGCTGTCGTGCTATAAACGATGCTATACTTAATCGCGCGGGAGGCTGTAGGTGCTAAGGATCTTCTCCAAGTCCAATGGATTATCGTGCGTACGGCCGCACTTGATTAATTGATCGCCGCCGAGTGTAGTGGATGCGCTTGGAGGTTGAATTCGAGCTTCGGGTTTGTTCGGAGCTTCGTTCCATGTGTTCGAGAGTCGGAGTGAAGTGAATGGTCGTGAAGTGAATTGCGACAAGCGGCGTCCAAGAGAACCGATGGAGACGCAGAAGCAAGGCGATGCGTACAGCAACAGCCGGCTCTACAGAAAGCGACTTCCGATGTGGACGCGATTCCTAATCGGGCCCGAGAAGAAACAACAGCAAACAGCATGCCGCCGCCGCTCAGAACGAGACACCATGGTAAGAATTCCTTGGGAATAATATGGAGCGCTAACAATCGTTACTGCAGTCCTCCGAGCTTCGGTACACTGCCAACACACAGCTGGAGCACCGTGCGTGGTTCTGTGCTTTCTCTTGCGCGCTTTCGGGTTAATGCAATCTGTCAGTGCACGCCAGGTACACCGGAACTGGTGCGTTCTTTGGTCGCTTTGGTTGTCCGAGAACTAAGGAATTGCAGGACACGCTGACTTGTCGAAGCAGTGGGTGGACTTTGGTTGCTCTTTGGTGGTTCTCTCTGACGGGCTACAGCGACTGGGTGACGCATCAGCACCGCGACACGCTCGCGTCAATCGTGGGCCACCCGACACTGACGTCGTTCCTGGCCATTGCAGACGGCGAATCCAAGGGCCGCATCAAGTTCGAGATGACCGAGGCCAGTCTAGTTTTTCTTTGTTGCTTGCTTTCGTTCTGATATTGGACGCATAATAGCGGATGCTGCAGCCGTGTGGACCTCCCCCGCGAAAGGACGAGGACTAGAAACGGATGAAAGGGCTTTGGTAGGACCCCCATATAGCACGCTTGTAATCTTTGTAGTATGCGATGTGTGTACCGAATCAGTGATGCATTAGGAGCATTCGGAATTAGAAACGTCTGAAAGCAGGAATTGCTCTTTAACCACAACTACCACCATTGTCCACACTTTCTATCTGGTGGCCCGTCCACCTACAATAAATGGCCGCAATGGACGTCGCCCGCTCGTTTTCGCTCCACCCCAGGTCTCCGCCGTCCTCTGAGACCCTTCGAGCTCAAGCTGCGAGCCCAGAGCCCCATTACAGACTATCCAGACTAAACACCCCACCCTCCAGCGCAACCCTGCGCCCACCATCTATCATATCCCGCTCCGTCTCGGCCGGGATGACTTTTCCCTTCACCAAGAGCCAGAAAGAGAAAGAACGGGAAAGGCACGAAAAAGAAAAATCGAATAAGGATAAGGATGCTTTCTCCCGCGCGCCATCGCCCGACGACCGCGCTTCCAGTCGTTTTGGCTTCAACCTCCGCAAAAAGGTCTCGCTCGCGTCCATGCGGTCTAGCCAGTTCGATGATGCCGCATCGTCGCGCACCTCGT